CTTTATCTCTCCTGAAGAGACGAAAAAATGACAATTTTGGAAGATATGCCTGCAGACGGTGCATCTCCTATCTCCTCCAATATGGAAACAATTTCTTTACTCCTAACCGAATCCTTTGTTTTCCTTKCAGTTTACCATAATGTTGTTGTGAGGTTTAAATGAGTCAATACAAATAAGATTGTTAGAAAAGTGCCTGGCACAGGAAGAGCACTTGGCATACATGAGCCTTAAAAACGCTGAAATGTGGATATGTGTGTGCCTATAAAGAGATATAAATTGGATCAGACCTAATGAACTAACGAGTCTATTTTATGAATATATACCAAGAAAATGCTCATAGATATAGACAAAGATTTATTTATAAAGATGGTGATCAGTGCATCGGAGCATTGTAATAGAGGAAAAAAACTAGAAACAACCAAAATTTCCAGCAATAATGGAACAGGTGAATYCATTATGCTGCTTTTCAAAAGCATGTTTTTGAATAATTTTTGGTACTGTAAGAAAACTATAATGATAGGTAAAGAGGGATTAAAAGCATTTATATACTATGATCTCAGCTTTGGACTCTCCAAATAAATATCTATGGAACAATACCTCCATTAAAAAATATCAGAGCGAAAAACCCCAAATGTTACTTGTGTTTTGTCTAAWAAATAAAATTATTCATTTCAGCACTTATTGTATATTTGTAGTATACAACAAGCATCTTTTAATTATACAAAGAGAAAAATAATAGAACAGTTGAGAATCTATTGTAACACCACAATTTTTTTTTAAAGGATAAAGTTTTAGACCAAGCCAGGGTAAGGGGTAGAAAAGATCATTCTGAGGCACAGTCCTCTGTAGTTGGTGACCCCCTGGACAGGGGAGARAGGACATTAAGTTCCTCTTTGCTTCCTAGCTTGATCAACAGCATGGATGGATGATGATTTTATGAACCACAATAGGAAAGCCAGGAAGAATGGGTTGGGAAGGAGGAGAATACMTTGTTTGGCTTGCTGAGTTTGCAGCACACTAAGGATCCCCAGGTGGAGAAGCCCAGTCGGGAGCTGGCTGTATAAAGGCTGGGGGAAGAGACCTCAGTAACACCTGGGTGTGGGACCCCACAGTGAGTCCTTACCTGAGGATGCACAAGTGCTCTGTGTGTCCCAAGAAAGGGATGCTCAGACTCTGCTCCTGTGGAAGGTGAGACACTTGGGYTTCCGATCACCACCCCTTCTTCCCAGAATGTGGCTGCTTCCTCAGAGGTAGCAAAGAGTCCCTCAGAGACTTGCAGTGACTGAAATGCATTTGCACTGCTCCCTCTGAGGCTTGCTAGGCTCCCTGAGTCAACCACATCAAACTCACTGCTGTATATTTTGTAGAAATGGTGCTCAAACAAYAGCCCCTGCCTCATCCAAGGACCTCTTTGTACAACAACGCCTAGGGAAACTGTCCCAAGTTTCAGGACCAGGAAAGTGTGAGGCCTTGGACATCAGGGATTCTGGAACTGCTCCAGTTTTCCTCTGCAGTAGAAAAGAGCCTGGCACAGAGAAAGCACTTGATGTACACTAGCTCAAAACGCACTGGAAACCAGTGTGGGTATGTGGGCATCTCTGGCCAATAAGAAGCCCAGAACAATATCTGTGGCCCATCTTCAGCAGCCTTRTAGGATCACGTGGTGTTCATTCAGGGTGTTAATAACATTTCTGTCTTTGTTGTTTTACTGCCCTTATTTTCTCTTTGCCCCAGTTTCTTCAACTATAAATGTTTGTGAACTACTTAAAGTCAGTTTTCTTTTTCTTCCATATCATTCCCACCCATCCATCTTCCTTCTCACTCCTGGAGTTGCTGGAACTTCTACTCCTCTTCTCCACAACAGCCCTCCAACTCTGATATCCACTAAATCTTCATTTTTTGGGCCCCAGATCCCCAGTGTCTTCAATAATTTCTTATGGATATGAGCTCCTAAAGAATCATTCATCCTTCTATACTTGACAGGTGCCTCCTGGTCTCCAGGTGTCTCCCTGAAGCCCCTGCTCAGGGCAGTGCCCCACCACAGCAGCAGCGGTCAATGGCTGAGTTTCATGCCTGCCTSACGCACGCGGCTGGGGACCCCTGAAAGGCAAAGGCCACGCCCCTTGGCCTCCAGCTAGTACAAGGCCAGGGCCTGGGCCTAATGGATGCCTAATCAGGGTTTATTGAAGAAGTGAATGAACAGATGAGCACACACCTAAACAGTACTGTATGTGCAGCCTCCTCACACACCTTCAAGAAAGCCAAAGGCCCCAGGAAGGGCCCTGCTCTGCTGCATTGTTTGTGGCCTTTCCAATTGACAACTCTTTCATTGTGTCTCCCGAAAAGTCTTGAGGCCCTTCAGAGCTTGTTCTCACAGCTAAATCCAGAGTAAATACACATAAGACAGAATTTGTCCTGTGAGGTCCCCAAGATAAATATTCACAGATAGGAAGGATTTCGCAGATCAAAAATGCAAGAGGCTGGGGTTCCAATCAGCATGTGTTTTCCGAACACACCTTTCATAGGTGCTAATTAGGTGCCAGGCATTGTTCTGAGCTCCTTACAAATATCTTATTTAATCCTCATAACAACCCCATGAGATAGGTACTATTTTTATCCCCAATTTATTTTCATAGGGTCCTCTTAGCATTAAAAAACCTATCTTGAAATGAAGGAGTCACTTCTCCATCACTGATAAAAGAAACTTATAGTAGATCCAATGTACCAATAACGGGCAGGCTAAATGTGAGCCTTTGATCTGAGACCTAGATCCCACAGAACATCACATCCCTCACCCACTGAGTGTTAGCACCTACCTTGTGTTCAGGGCTACTTCCCGTGAGTTCCTACCCTGGTGGAGGAAACTCAAACCTAAGCAAACCAGCCTGGAGCTAGGTGCAACAGTGTGCACACCTGTAATCCTAGCAACTCCAGAAGCTGAGGCAGGAGGATCACAAGTTCAAGGCCAACCTCAGCAACTTGGTAAGACTCTGTTTGTAAATAAACAAAGAAATAAGCAGCCTACAGGGCAAGTGCATTAGGACCAAGGGCACAGTAACAGGGCTGTTTTGATGTCAAAACAACAGCCCCTGCCTCATCCAAGGACCTCTTTGTACAACAATGCCTAGGGAAACTGTCCCAAGTTTCAGGACCAGGAAAGTGTGAGGCCCTGGACATCAGGGATCCTGGAACTGCTCCAGTTTTCCAGTAAGGGGAGTAATTATCTCTGTGTTCTTGGAGAGTATGAGGCTTCAGCTGTTTTAGTGTATGGACCGGAGTTTCAGGTGGAGAAACAAAGGTGGGGGAAGTGAGACTGCCAAGGCAGCAGGGTGTGAAACAGCACCGGGGCAGCTGCTGGAGGCACAGTGAAGGGAGGGGAAGAATTGGGAGTGAGGGACAGTCATTCAGGTGGTGGCCATGGCCGCCTGCCAAGAAACTTAAGGTCACTGAAAGATGTAGTCATTTCTGTTCTAGAAAGATCCTTGAAGCAGCTGCAGGAGGGAAGAGGGAGAGGACCAAACAGAGAGAGATCAGTGAGGAGGCTGTTTCAATAGCCCAAGCAAAAAGACTGTGTGTGGAAATGAAGGCACTAGATTCTAGGGATATTTAGGGACACTAGACTTTGGAGTGATGGGGAAGCTGACAGAGAAGTGCAAGATGACAYTTGTGCTTTTGTCTCAGAGGTCCAAAGGGAAGGGGGAGCAGGGCTGAGAGCTGGCTTTCAGAGGTTGAAGACAAGCCAGGAAGTGAATAAGCTGGGCCACAGACATTTTCTTTCATTCTCTCAGAATGGTTAATTCAGATTCTCGCTCACATCTCTTTAAATAAAATATGATGCATTTCATTCTGTCATCATAGTGAAAAATCATTGCCCTTTGCTGGAAATTAATAACCTTTGGAATTAATAACCTTTGGGTAGGAAAATTGGTTTCATTAATACCTCCCCTTGCACTTGGTAGGTTCATCATCTCTTGGCCCTGCTGTCCCCTGAAACCAAAAGCCCAAGACTTATTATTTGAGTAGCCTGCATGATTTTATGCTCAGAAAGAATGATCAGGGTCCTTAGTAATTGGACTGAATTAAGTCACTGACTAAAAATGTCAGCGTGGCTATGTGTCTGCCTCTCAGCCACAGGGGAGTCCACCCTCTACCAAGAGGGAGGGCAAGAGCTTCCTCCTGTAGCTCTGGGCCTGATCCCTATGCTTGGCAGGAAGATGTCACCCATCTTTATGTGCCACTCCACGGAAACATGGCACCTTCCTTGTCATTTAGACCAGAGAGCCCAGGCTCCCCAGCATTCTGGCCCTGCATGCTCCGCCTGCCCACTGACCTCCTGCCTTGTTATGGCCACGGATTTTCACACCTCTGAGCCTTTCCTCTTGCTGTTCCCTCTGCTCAGAAAGCCCACTGCCCTCCCCAAACACATGCCTCTATCACCCTTCAAGGCCAGGATCAGCTCCCCACTCCCTGAAAAGCTGTACCTGAATGCCCTCTCCTTTACCAATATGTTACATCCTTGGTGATCCTCCCCACCCCTACCCCAGCCAGGCTCTTCTATGCCAGGCTTGCGTGATATGGGGTGTCTGCAGTGAGAACACGCTGCAGTGTTATCTAATTAAGATGCTCTCTCCACTCTCTTTGTAGCACTGAAAGACAGACCTGGGTTCCCATCCTGACTCTACCCAGTTCTGGGCAGAGATATTCTAGATAAGGGGTTCACCTTCTCCAAGACTGGGTCCCCATGCCTCACCTACACTCCCCATCCCCCAGAGCTATTCCTCTACTCCTGACTGACTGGTCACTGGGATGACAGGGTGGAGGATTAAAGGATCCCCACCCCTCCAGCCCCTATGTTGGGTCCTTCTAGATCAACCTCCATCACCTGGCTATTCAGCTACAAAGGCTCTGTTGGATTCCCCAAAGCTGCAACTCATGCTGATCTCTGACACCTCACAATAACAGAAGCCAGGCTGAGCATGGTCTGCAATTTTATATTCCAGAGCTGATTGGGAGAAGATCTCGAGCTGTCGAAACAAAAAAATCTTTGCAGGAGACAGAGACCAGATTCTTGCTCTTCAAAGATGAAACCAACAAGGGCTGTCAGATCCAGCTCAATCACCCAGACACTCTGCGGGAGTGCGGCTTCAACTCCTCGCTGCCTTTGGTGGTGATAATCCACGGGTGGTCGGTAGGAAACAAGGACGTGCCTTTTTCTCTTTGCTTTCTCGTTTGCTTTTTTCTTCCTGGTATGTTCGATTTTTAATAAAAAGATAGGGCTCTGATGATAACAATGTAGTGTTTCTAAAGAACATGCTGGTTTTCCAAAGTGCTTCCCTACACATTATCTCATTGGTTATTTCAATTCCATGAGTGAACAGGGCAAGGAAAATATAATTAGCTCCATGTTTTAAATAAAATGTGGCTCAAAGAAGTCATGCAGCTCATTAAGGCCCTGAAGGGACTGCAGCCCGCGCAGGTGGAAGGTCCTGCCTGAATCTCCATGTTTCACCAGGAGAGGCAGGAAGCAAAAGACATGGGGTCCTCATGAAATCTAGTGCCGTAAGGGTTAAATCCAGCAGCAAATAACAGACCTAAATTAGTAGTGATTCAAATAAAACAGGAGTTTGATTCCATTTTACACAATGATCCAGAGAGATGTCATTCAAAACTGGCTAGACAGCGCTGGTCAATGAACTCCTCAAGGTTCCAACTCCTTCAGGCCCACTGCTCTGCCACCTTAGAGTGTGGCCCTTGCACTCATGGTCCAAACTAGCAGCATATGCTCTCAACAGCCTGTGGATGACCCCAATGCTGACAGATGAGCAGATGTCAGCAGGAACACCAGCCACCACATCTTGATTGCAGGCAGCAATATAGTAAAGGAGGTATACAGGGCTCCAGAAGCAAGGTTTAAAAAAAAAAAAAAAGCTGTATTTAAATATAATTCACATAGCATATAAATCATCTGTTTGCAGCTAACAATTAAGGAGTATTTTTTTAAATTCACCTCCCAGAAGCACCTGTGCAATGCTTCCAGTTATATCCATCAGCCACACCTAGGTGGAAAGGTGACTAAGAAGTGCAGCCTCTTAGAGAAAGTGTAGCCTGCCGGGCATGAATATGCATGCCTGTGATCCCAGTAACTCAGGAGACTGAGGCAAGAGGATTGCAAGTTCAAGGCCAGCCTCAGCAGTTTATTGAAGCCCTAAGCAATTTAGCGAGATCAGGGGTAAAGCACCCTTGGGTTCAATTCCCAGCACCAAAAAAGAAAGAAAAAAAATAGAAAGTATAGCTTTCTGGTGGTGCTAAACATCCTTTTMCTATAAAGAAGAGAARGGATATTGTGGGCAGAGTGAAGTCAAATCCTGTGAGGACTGTCTGGTCTCCAAGAGGAAACTGCCCCCCGATTCCAATCCACCAATGATTTGAAGTTCAGCTCACACATTGAAGCTTCTAAAACTTCTGGCATCTCTTTCATGATTTGGAAAACTTTTTATGCCATTTTGTTGAAAAAAAAAATGCCCTTAAAACCCTCATCTAGGGCTGGGGCTGTAGCTCAGTGGTGGAGCACTTGTATGGCATGTGTGGGGCACAGGATTCAATCCTCAGCACTGCATAAAAATAAAATTAAATGAAGGCATGCTGTCCAGCTACAACTACAAAAAAAAATTTTTTTAAAACCCTCATCTAGTCCATTTTGGAGACTCATCTATCTCCTTCCTCTCACCTCCAGTCCACCCTTGCCCCTGCCTGCCCATCGCCTCCCTGACGCCCCCTCACCTCTCCCTGTCCCTCTCACCTCCTTGCCTCCCATGGCAGGTTCCAGCCACACTCACTGATTGTAGCTCTCTGCTTGGCCTTGGCTGGGCTGTGCCCTCTGCCTAAAGCATCCTCTCTTCTTCTCTTCTCCTAAACAACTCCCGCTTTTCCTGAGGACACAGTTGCAAACAGGTCTTCCTACAGGTCTGCACTGCCTCCATCCAGCCCTTCCCCAGGGCACCTTAGGTGTCCCCAGAGTTCCCACACCCTCCTAGGCACCTTCCAGCTCTGCCCTGCTGCTCAGTTTTGTCATTGTCTGCCAGTGTTTCTATGTTCTTTCTGGAAACRATTCTGTCCTACTCTTTTCTAATTGACCACTGTGGGATAGAGCCTATTACATATAAAGGGCTCCAAAATATTTGTTAATATGAATTAATGACCAAATGAATKAGTCTTGTTTACAAATGCAACATGAAGATAAGAGGATCCTCTTACCAAAATGTGTTCTTCATTCTCAAAATYCTATTCAACCTGGAATATAGCTACTGATATTAATTCTGCCACAATAACAATTTAATGAATCTGTACTATGTTCCAGGCACTGTTCTAAGTGCTTCCCAACCATTCTGGAAGAAGGGCGTTATTATCCCCACGTTCCAGATGAGAAAACAGAAGCATAGGGGTATTAAATAACTTGCCTGAGCTTACTCAGTTAAGTGGGAGAGCCTGGATTTGGAGCAGGATGCCACATGCACACAGAAGGCACTTGGTAAACATTTATTAAATGGCTGYATCTTGCTGGGTGCCATGGCACACTCATAATTCCAGGGACTGAGGAGGCTGAGGCGGGAGGATCACAAGTTCAAGGTCAGCCTCAGCAACTTAATGAAGCCYTAAGCAARTTAGAGAAGGCCTGTCTCAAAATAAAAAGGACTGGGGAATGTATCTCAGTGATAAAGCATTGTGGGTTCAATCTCCAGTATAAATGTAAATGAATRAATAAACAAATAACTGCATCTTCTCCCCCAAATGGCATGTGAGGCCACAGCTAAGCCCTTTAGCTTCACCTCCGACATACCACACTGCCTGCACTTTCATGATTCTGTGATATTTCTTCTGCCTCTCACCCCGGCTGCTACTGCACTCACCACTCACCATCACACCTCTTTCCTCCCACTGAATTCCTCCTTATCCTTCAAGACGCAATGCAAATGCTTTGCTCTCTGATTGCATTCAGAGCACCCTGCAGATGGTGCTCCATCAGGGTGCACAYACAGGACAATTCTCCAAGCCCCTGCTAGTCCCACCAAAGCCAGCAGGGTGGAGCCAACTGGGGATTCAGAGGTGCAGTAGAGCAGCCTACAGGAGGAGGTGGCCTGTAGCTGACCTCAAGGGACAGGTCAGATTTGGAGATATGATTTATATAGACTTTTCAATAAGGACTCAGAAAGCCTGAAAGGGAAATTTATGACAGTGGTTCTCAGGTGCGAAAGTCGGAACATGTTTTTGTTTTTCAAAACCTGGGGTAGAAGATGCTGCTGGCATCTTAGTGGGTAAAGCTAGGGATGCTGCTGACCAATGTACAGGATAGTCCCCAACAACAAGAATGATCTGGCCCCTGATATTGTTAGCACCCAGGCTGAGAAACCTTGTGTCTAGCCCTTTCTCTTGGAAAAAAAAGAATCCAGCACTGTACAAGAATTGAAAAAGGTAGGGGGAAACGAGGGGAAGTGGAATCAGCATGGCCTTCCCTCAGCCCTCAGGCAAGGCTGACAGTCTGTGGGCCACTCTCAGGTGGACGGCATGCTGGAGAGCTGGGTCTGGCAGATGGTGGCTGCACTCAAGTCCCGGACAGCCCAGCCGGTAAATGTGGGGCTGGCAGACTGGATCACCTTGGCCTATCGCCACTATACCATCGCCGTGCGCAACACCCGCATCGTGGGCCAGGAGGTGGCAGCTTTCCTCCGGTGGCTGGAGGTAAGCCTCAACCCCCTGCCCTCCTCACTCTTCCCTTGAGTGTGCATAGAATAAAATCGTCTCCAACAGCAACCCAGATAGAGGGCCTAAGCTCATAGGACTGAAGCCAGACCCCAAGCCTCTATCTAATGCTCAACCTGATCCCCTATTTTGCAGACTTTAATCTCCCTGTACCCCACCTACTATACCTTTTGCACTTTAGACGTGTTAAGGGGTTTAAATGCACCCTGGAAACCATCAGCCCCCACCCAGATGAGTGTAATGGTTTCCATAAGGCATTAATAGCCAGGTGAAAACAGGCAGGTGGGAGGCAACAGCCACTAGGCAGAATCCCAGGCACCTGACTAGAATGGAGGGCCAGCCAACTAGAGGACAGAGGCTCTGAGGTGAGAAACCAGTTAACAGTTTGCACCTCCTCATTTGTGAGCAGGCCCAAAGCACAAGAGAGGTGCCCAGACAAAGGTGGATCCACTCAGGTGGGCAGTGCCTCTCCTCCTGCAACCATCTTGCTGCTGTCTTCCAGGTAACTGCTCAGTTTTCTCGAAGTAATGTTCATCTAATTGGATACAGCCTGGGTGCTCATGTCTCAGGATTTGCAGGCAGCTACATCGGCGGGAAGCACAAGATCGGGAGAATTACAGGTAACCCTTCCTCATGGCTCACTCGCCATCGTCCCTGCTTCTCCACAGTCTCATCATTAAAACACCCGACTTCTTCCCTGACAGGTTCCAGGACTCATAACACTCTCTCAGACATGACCGCTGTCATGAATTGCCACTKTTCTGAGAGAAAATTCAGAGCAAATTACGACCTCTATTCCTATTGCCTTTCCTCGAATGAATGCCTCTTCTAAATGTGCCAAACAGCACTAGAAACGGGACTTTCAGTACATGCTTACAGCAAGAAAGGCTTATTTTTTAATCTATAGTTTAAAAAGTCCAATGCAGACAAGTTAGGAAGTGATGAATACAGCCTTAATTTGCTACAACACACCAGCTATAATTAGTGCCTCCATCTCTCCAAACTTGTGAAATGCATGTGTCTGACCCTGGATCCCATTTGAATTGAGGGTGGGAATCTGTACCAAATATCTCACCCCAAACTGCACCCCACTCATAAATGGCCCTAGTGCTCAGGAAGAGCTGCGTGTGTACAAGAAGACCTTTCCTTCCTCCCAAGCATCCCTCACATCAACCTCACCCTACCACCTGCACTGCTTGGATTCCAAAACAAACACACACTTGGTCAGATTGCTCCACAGCAAAATCACTGACACCTACAGAGAGGAAATCTAGGAGGCATGAGCCAGGCCCTCAGTGTAGTGTCCCCCGAGCTCTCCAACTTCTCCTCCTGCCATCTCCTTTCTAGAGCTCTGGGCCTCCATGACCCTGGATTTTTCTTTACAAACACAGGTGACCTCTCAAGCCTCTGGACTTTGTATATCATATTCTCTGTGCCCACCACTCATCCAATCAGGCCCATCTGACCTACCCAACTCCTACTCAGTCACCAAGACCCAGCAGGCTAAAACAAAGTACATTGAAGATGAAAAACAGAACTATGGTGACTTTCTTTTATCAAGTAACAATAGTTTTTAAAAACAACTACTTTTCTACAACTACCACTCCTTCATAAAACCATATTTTAACATGAAAAAGAATAAGATAATGTCAGACATTTAAACTGAATATATCTGTCATCATGAGAACTCATCTCCTCCATCTTTTCCTCTTTTTCTCCATCTTTCTGGTAGTGGGAGGCCTGGACTGCTTTAATCCCTGGCCCTGACTGTGGAAACAGGACCAGAAGGCTGAGTTAGAACTCAGCGAGATGGCCTCAGGCCTGAGCCCCCAGCCTTTTCCATTCTGGCTGGTGTTGGAGGTCACAACAGGCATCATTAGCCAGGCCAGCCTGACCAGAGGCAGCAGGAGCGCTCACTGCACTATTGTTGTCTTGTAGTCAGCCTGCAGAAAAAAAGGAATAGGATCACACCAAGACTGTGGGTGATGCTGGAGAGCAGGGGTACTCAGAGCCCACCGGCAATCCCTTCCCCCTACTAAAGGATGGAAGCCAGGGTGGGGAAGGGGGACATCAAAGGGTCCTCCAGAGAAAGCAGATGAAAAAAAAAATGGAAAAATCCTTGTGTGCATAAATACTCCCCAAGTAGCCAGTCAGGAGCTGCCACTCATCTCATGCAAACACATCTGTCACTTGTGGACCAGAGCTTTGTGCAGGCCTATTGGCTCAGAACATTTTCACCCTGGAACGGTGATGTCCTAAGGCTGTTCTGGACATTCCAATGAAATGACATTAGTGTAGGAGAAAAGCCAGCTTGTTTAGGAAATTATTGACAACATCCAGCAAATAAATTCTTTCTTTGATGGGTAGGTTCGAACTATATATAATGAGCACATAGGTTTTGGGGTTTTTTAAATGCAAACAAATGCTCTTCAAAGTAGCTTGAGAGGTACTTAAAATTGATTTGCTTAAATAAATCAAGCATTCTCTCATAACCTTCTTTCTACCATTGGATAGTCTCCGCAAACCTCTTCCCCACCAGGTAATGCCCAGGCTGTGTCTAATTTTCAGCACCATGAATTACTGTGGTTTTACTGCAGAAAGGTTATGGTAAAATTTTCTGGAGAAAGATTATACCCTGGGTTTCTCTTCTTCCTGCTAGCTCATAAATGTGTAATAATATTAAACAGATAAAAAGTATATTTCTTCCCCTGACCTTATCCTTGCTCTCCCCTTAGGGCTGGATGCTGCGGGCCCTTTGTTTGAGGGAACTTCCCCCAGTGACCGTCTTTCTCCAGATGATGCCAATTTTGTGGATGCCATTCACACCTTTACCCAGGAGCACATGGGCTTGAGCGTGGGTATCAAACAGCCCGTGGGGCACTATGACTTCTACCCCAACGGGGGCTCCTTCCAGCCCGGCTGCCACTTCCTCGAACTCTACAAACACATTGCACAGCATGGCTTAAACGGTGAGAAAGCAGCCGAGAGCACTGGTCCGCTTCCCATGCCCCCGAGGGGCCTCTGGAACCCAGGGATGTCTACCAACCCTGTGGGACTCTGGGCAGAGTCTGGCAAGGGTAGGGGCCCAGGGTTTATGATCACCAAGTCCAATCCTAGAGAGGGACTGTGGGGAGTGGGTAAGGGCTGATGGTCCCTGAGGATGAGCAGAGGGACACCATCAGGAACYCCAACTTCTCACCCTTGCCCAGTGTGCCCAAGCAAAGCCTTTTCAGGGGTACTAGCCCTTCTGAAAGTTGAGTCCTGATGCTGCTGGATATTCTTTCTTCTCAGGAAGTGTCCTCACTCTGAGGCTTCCACATGAGGATCTGTTTTAATAGGTCTTGGCATCTTTATCCTTGGTCACACAGAGTAGGAATAAATTCTTCACCCACCTCCAGGAGGCTGGATCAGCAGATCCTAGAGACAGTGCTGAGATTCTTCCAGTATGAAATCCAGTTGCAAATCAGTTCTGTTACCCAACTTTACCTCAGTGCAAAAACTGAATTTATCTGGCTTTTTCTGGGTTGTCATCCCACTTCTGTCTCAGGTCCTCAAACCCAAACATTAACATGGATAACATGCACAGGATCCGAGCACAAAACTGTGAGCAGTGACCGCGCCTTCCACAGGCATTCTGCATTTCTCCTTACTATAAAACATCCTGATTAAAACATGCCAATTCGCTCCAAGCCAACTGGAGTCCCCCACACTCCACCTTCTCACCCACCCCAGTCATCTAAAACTGAGCTGAGAGCCTCGCTGTCAGGATTACATCACCACCCTGGCCTCTCACATACCAGCATGACCTTCACACTCCACATCATGTCCTTGGCTGAACTCCCAGCCTTCCGGCCCCGCCTGTGCTTCAGAGAGCTTTTTGGGAACTTCCCCTTATCATTGCTTCCATCTCCCCTGGTCCCCACCCCTCCGGTCACCAGTGGTTCCTGCTGACAGCCCAGCCCTCCTCSCACGTTGCCACCTTTTCCAAGCTTAACACAGACCACAGGGTACGGTTTAATAACTGCTTGCCTGATAAACACATCTCTGACCAATCACTGCCATTTGCTCTTTTGTGCTAAACTTCAAAGTGATATAATCAAGTATACATACACGGCTTGCCAGACTTTGGAGGGGGACTCAGTTGTCTCCACCCCTGTGTTTGAAAGTGTTCCTATTCCAGGGCAGTTCTCCCAGCCACTCCTGAACAGAGCATAACAGAACAATTGCCTTCCCCACCCTCACCACCTCCTGGCTGGGTGAGCTCCAATGAGTTATTGAATGTCTTTTTCTTCTCTCTTCTGGTGCTGGGGATTGAACTCAGGGCCTAGCACATACTAGGCAAGTGCTCTACCACTGAGCTACTTCCTCAGTTCTTTAAACTTTATTTTGAGAAAGGGTCTCACTAAGTTGCTCAGGCTGGCCTGGAACTTGGCAATCTTCCTGCCTCAGCCTCCAGAGAAGCTGGAAATACAAGTGTGCACCACCTTAGCAAGCAGTCAATGTCTTTGAGGCTCAGTATCCCCATTGACAGCAGATGCCCCAAGATACTGCTGGGAAGATGCAGGGAGTGGGTGAGTGGAAGGCAGCAGCACAGACCTGCCTCCTGGTAAATGCACAACAAATGCCTCCATTGGTGACCCAAACCTGAGATGAACAATTTTGATTTAGCCTTGAAATGCTTGGAAACATGGCTTGTGGCAAAGTCACCTGTGACCTTTATATGTAGACCTTTAGGTATTTTACATGTCTTRTGGTGATTCCTAATATTCCTTAAGAATAATTCACTACAAGTTAGGTTAAGATTTGGAAAGTTATTTTTTTTAAGATCAAAATTCATGAAAGAATCTCTTAATTTTTAATAGACTCCTCCCAACCTATAGCTGATAGTTAACAGCCCAATAAAGCAGATAAATCCTGTTGGGCTCAATACAGCCCATGATCCTAGAGGTTCACTAGACARTTCTATAACTTAAAGTTAGATGCTCAATAGATGCTTTAATGAGGGGATGTTGTTGGTTTATTGAGAATAAATATTATTGTTTCCATGTTCAAAAAAATTCATGGAAGATAAAACTAGTAAGTTTGCTTTGKGAGTGTTAGACCTCTTCAGTCCTGGTGATTGGTGACTGGGACATGTCTTTTTGTTTTGTTTTGTGTTTTGTTTTGTTTTGTTTTCTTCTTCCAGTGCTGGGGTTAAAACCAGGGCCTCATTCATGTTAGGCAGGTGCCTTATCATTGAACTACATCCCCCAGACCCCTCCCTTTTTTTTTTTTTTTTTTTTTTTTTTTGAGATGGGGTTTCACTAAAGTGGTTGCTCAAACTCATGATCCTTCTGCCTCAGCCTCCCAAGTAGCTGAGATGGACCCTTTAACAACATTTACAGGCCTGCCATGGCACATCTTAATCCAGTCCCATTGCTGGCTTCACACACACCCAGGGGATGCAATGGCCACTTTGGGACATGAGGCAGCCATTATAGGAAGGGCCTCAGTTATGAGCATGCCACAGGAGTGCCTCACTGATCTGCCTTTATTTAAAGAAGAGGCAGTCTAGTAGAGTAGAGGAAGGAGAAGAGGAGAGGGGAGGGGACAGGGAGGGAAAAGGGGGGATCATGAACTGAAATGGATTTCCATGATGTTTGAGTTTGTYGGGATGAACCCAACTACTCTGTGTAACCATAAAGTTCTAATTAAAAAGGAAGAGAGAGAGGGAGAGAGGCAGTCCTCACAACCTGAGCCAGCTCACCCACTCCAGGACCCTGCATCTGGGCATTTTTAACCATTTGAGAAATATCTCTAAAATAAGTTAAGCTACTCTGCTTTCTTAAATAATCTGACTTTTCCCAGTGATGTGGGGTGCATATGAAAACACTGACTATGTGCCGAGGATTTTTCCCTGATACTAACCGGCGGAGAGGGGTCTACTCTCTTTAGTGTTTGGCTGTTCTTACCTCCTGCTGATGTCAGGGAGCCAACCTCAGCAATCTTACCCCTACCCTGCAGGATGCTACTAGTAATCTTCTGTGGGCTGAGAAACAAGATGTCTCTTTGAGTTGGGGGTCCCTTGGAGTTCAGAGGTAACAACGTTCTTCTTGCTCTGGGTTCCAGCCATCTCCCAGACCATAAAGTGTGCCCACGAGCGGTCGGTGCACCTCTTCATCGACTCCTTGCTGCACGACCACATGCAGAGCACGGCCTACCAGTGCAGTGACATGGACAGCTTCAGCCAGGGCCTGTGCCTGAGCTGCAAGAAGGGTCGCTGCAACACACTGGGCTACCACATCCGCCAGGAGCGGCACAGCAAGAGCAAGAAGCTCTTCCTTGTGACTAGAGCCCAGTCCCCCTTCAAAGGTGAGTGCCTCCCGGATCCCTGGTCTGCAAGGCTCAGAAACTCCCTCCACTCTGTTCTTTAGGTTCCTTCAGCTCTGTGCTCTAGCAGCAGCATGACAGGCTTTCTCCTTTTCCAAGAATGGCCACCTTGCTGCCAAGGACCAGGTGGAGAAACCTTGATTATTTCTAGAGCAATCCTTGGATTGGTCTCTTTGTCCATTTTCATGTTCCTGGAATGTTCCATGTGGAAGGTTCCCAGCAGTCACCTGGACCACACAGCTCTCTCTCATTGTCCAAGGACCTGGAGGGTCCTGAACTCGGTTCTTCCACTCCACTCAGGACCCCCATGAAGAAACAGGGTTCTCAACTCCTCATTTCTACCCCTTAGGTTGGAATCCACCTTCTTACAGATATTCTTACCATACGGTGGTTCTCCCAGGGTGTGATTCAGCTTCCAGTGTTTTCCAGCCAGATCCCTAACCTCAGGCAGAAAGGGAGGCCCTGCTGCCGTGCTCTGGGTTGAACAGGAAAGGGCTGTGGCCACTTCCTGAGCCTGAGCAGAGGCCAGCAGAGAAACACTCAAATCCTCCTGGAGGGAACAAGCCATCTGTTGCCATCAACATTTCTGCCTAATCCTTAAAACAGCTCAGGAGTGATTTTGCATCTTCCAGTTTCACAGCGCACTCTCCACAGTGGGGCTGGGAGAAGGACTTGGTGGTGTGCCCTTCCTTTATGACTATGCAGATACTGTGGGGGAGGGGACTGGAACTTGGCACTAGCTCAGCATTTTATACAAACAGTACGCACCACCTTGGAATACTTGTGGCTCTCACAGCAGAGAGCCAGGCCGGTAGGGCTAGTTATTCCCCAGTTTCATTTATTTTAAAAAATTATCTATTTATCCATCTATTTTGGTACTGAGGATGGAACCCGGAGCACTTTACCACTGAGCTACTTCTACAGTCCTTTTCATTTTTATTTAGAGACAGGGTCTTTCTAAATTACTGAGGACCTTGCTAAATTGGTAAGGCTGGCTTTGAACTTGTGATCCTCCTGTCTCAGCCTCCCAAGTCACTGGACTCACAGGCTTGCACCATAGCACCCAACTATTTCCCAATTTTAAAGAGGAGAAAAGTAAAATTTGGGTGGAATGTCCACAGCCACACAGCCTATGAAGCCTGGAACAGGGTCACATGATGCTCCTTTGTCATCCCACTTCCTAGTTCAGACTCTCAAGAGAGACTTATATGTTAAGCACAGAATTCCTCTGTTTATCTGAAATCAGGTTATCAGCCAGATTTCCCTGATTGGAACCAAGCAAGTCCTGTGGTCCACAGGTAGGCCTTGAGGAGAAGTTGGCCTGAGGGCACATCTTTCCCCCATGAGGGGCTAGAGGGTCCCCTCCTGCCTGATTCTGAGGGTTGGAGGATGAGGCAGTTTTCAGGAGCAGGTAAGGGCATTTGGAAGGTCTCTGGCTTTGGGGACCTCCCCCACCATAGGCTGCCATTTGGGAATTCCTTGGGTTAACCCACTCCTGTTCTCAATGACCCACCACCTGGATGATGAAACCTCTCACTAATCATGATCTGCTTTCATGGTGATATGTCAACATCAAAGCCATTTTACAGATGGAGAAATGGAGACCCAGAGAGGGCAAATCATTTGCAGGAACACTGAGTGAATCCTTGTCAGAGCCAGCATTTAGACCCTGGGCCTCCAAAGAGTTGGGCAATTTTTACTGCAGGAACCTGCCCCTGATCTGTGCAGGAAAGGGGAAGGGAGTGCTTTCTACTTCCTGTCAATAAAAAGAAATGAGGCAATTTTTCACCTTCATGGAATGAACTGAGAACTTTATCTTAGTAGGGGCTTGGCCCAACCTGGGGGCTTGGAAGTAGGGAGGAGAAACAGGTAACAAAAGAAGGAAGTGAAGCTGGTGTAGTGGCACATGCCTTTAATCCCAGCAGTGCAGGAGGCTGAGACAGGA